TTTTTGACAATTTTCACCATTAACTTTTCCAGGAATGCTCCAGCATCATCTCAGCAATATCCAACGACGAAACGAGCTTCGCGAGCGAAATTATGGAACGCGGCTCTTTCGTGCCGAGAAAAGGTAGCGATGGTGAGGACGTTAATGGGCATATCTGTCACATCGACTCTCCGGAGACGGACACCTACCCCACCTCCGATGTGGTCCAAGGTGAGTCTTTAATGGACGACATCAGCTCCATGATTGGGGAAATCCTCTGCGGATACGATCAGGACAGCGTGGCGGATACCTATACGGACGACACAACGCTCTTCCATACAGAACTAGGTAACTGCTCCTACATGCATTTGACCAAAACGGTTGTTTTTAAACTCTGGTCATTTCAGAACGGAAGTTGAGTGTGAAAAAGGACTCGCTGGAACGAAAGAGGCGCAACAACATGCGAAGGAAGTCGGCACCGGGAGCGCCAAGAACCGAGGATACTGACCAATACCAATACGGGTTCGAGAACAGAGCCTTCATGTCCCAACATGTCTACTTGGACAATAGATACAATCAGCCGCAACGATACTGTAGCTTGGCCCAGTTTGTTGAAGGTGCCACCAGCCGAAATCTGCTGCTGGAATCAGCAATAATGAGCATTTTTTCAGGCAGTGACATCGCACGACGCTCGTTTAAACGGCGCAACACCAACAAAACCTCCAAAACTGAGGCCAACGTGTCGCGGCAGAGCACCTTGCATGAGGAGGCTGAGAGCCTCTCGGCCAGCTACAGAGGCAGCGTTTCCAGCATCAACAAGCTGGCCAAAGAGCTGTCCAACGTCTCCGCCACCACTGTGAAGGAAGCCATGGACAAGGATCTGGAGAAGGAAAGTGATAAAGAAAGCGAGAAAGTAAGTAGACGGTTTTGGGGAATTATTATTGTTTTGGCTGATGAGTATTCTGCAGGGTGGTTTTTCGATGATGAGTATTGGTACAAAAAGTACAATATACAAATTTTGATACAGTTTTCTGTTCTTGTATGCTCAATTTTCATCTGAAATATCGGAAAGTGCCCTATTTTTCGTTACGTTTATTGTAGCTTTAATTTTCTTGGACAATCCAATTATTTAGTCCCTTAAGCAAAAGCTTTGTTGCTTGCTCCCGCAATAAAACGGTTCTCAATTTCTCAATCAGAAGCTGTGTGTGCTTAAAAATTAAGGGCATTTAAAATGTAGAACCGTCGAGTTAAACTCGCCGTGTACATACGTGGATTTTCCATCCGAGTTGTATGAGCAACGACGCAGAGTTGCAAAATGTACAAAAAGTAATTCAAGTAACCAACAAGTTAGGTGTTTTAGACACTCAGTTTGTAAAGAACTGTAAGATATACAGAGTTATTCACGCTATACGGCACGGAAGTTTGCGGCTAAACCGTTTGATTTTTAAACAGTATTATTTTATGAATTGTCCGACGCTTACCGAGCGCACATTTTAAAAATATTTTTGTAATGTACGGGGTGTCCCAAAGGCTCTAAAGGTATTTTTAAATGGAATGTCCTGTATATTATTGCATTTTTGGATTCGCTGAACAAAATAAGTGTCTGTTTTAATAAGGTTTATAATA